ACGAGGCTTAATAAGCTGGAAACCCCCGACAACAACAAAGAGCGGCATATCAATCGATCGAGTGTCTGCCCAATGGACCCGAGGCTACAGCAACACAATAAAATCGCTACCAAGGTCAGCACCTGCCGTTGAGGAAACGAAATAAAATTGAAACCAAAACCGAAAACGAAAAGATATCTTGCACTTTGCAGTCTCCGTCAATTTTTTTGATCGCACCGAACTCTACTCAGCTCAGCTCAACTCGACTCGACTCGAGTCAACTCTCTATGTGTGCTTTGGGCGTGTTTGAGTTCCAGTTTTCGGCTATCTGTATACCCAAACAATTCGAATATGTTTACAACGTCGTTTTGGGCCATTTAGCGTCGTTGCGTTCGTCGTCGAGTTATGCGATATCGATACTCTTTTATTGGCAGTTTATTTAACTTAACTATTTGGCATCAGCCTTAAGCTGCGCCTTCACCTTGAACTAGTGCGATTCACTTAACTATATACTATGTATATGTATATTAAGACTACGATTTATATTTCACTCTGCATTAGTGGCTTACAATCGTTAAAGACAAATGCTTCCGTGCGCTGGCGAGAAAAATTCCACAACCGTTGAGCAGGCTAATGAGTCGCATTTCCATTTCAATAATCCAATTAAAGCTCGCATTATTTATTTTCAAACGTGCCTCGCATGCCGTCCCTCGTCGTTTGTCTTTTGTCAGCCCTTCGATTCATTGAGTGTCTGAGGGGCTGGGGAGAGCGCTTTGTTTACTTAGACGGGTGCTTATTAAGTGCTCTCTGTGGGTGTCAATTGACATGGTTTAGAATAACTGTGAAAATACTGTACAAGAGACGGCCCCACTTATGTCAAGTGAGTCGACAGCTTATGGCCAGCTAATTCCTTGATAATCATAGCAATCCAAAATCAGATGCGATCTAGTTGACATTAAATTAAAGCTGCTTTAATAATCGTATGTGTGAAGAACAATTGATTGGTGATTATTAAATAAACCCCTCAGTCTAGTTGCAAAAATAATAGTGATTGCACATTTTTGTTTTCTTGCGTTATACCTTTACCTATTAAATATTTGTATACCCTTCACCTTTACCCTTCCATACACAGAGCAGTTTTATAAGAAGCCATAATGTATACATATAGCTGACATTGGAACGGTCAGTAGGATAACTTTCATGTTAATGAGTTTTTCACTTCAATAAGACACTTAAAATCGGTTAACTATATCGTTATTATTATTATTGCTAACACTTTTGGCAGCTATAGTTGCTTTATTTTTCTTTCATATATATAGGTATGCGAACAAACAAAAGTAGCAAAATAAATGGTTTTTATATTGTTGGTAATAAATATATATATGTATATATTTATGGGCATCTGTCAAAAATAGAGTTTTATTTGGTGATTATTTAGTTATTATTAAGTAAGACAAAGAATCAACTTAATCACCTACATAGAATGGAATCAACATTTCTAAAGCCAATGAGAACAGAAAAATTTAAATACAAAGTGCAATTTGGATTATAATTTGCGTATTACATGCAAGTATATATATCGTATATTTACGTTCATATATTTTCGTTAATTTGTAATATTTATGCGCACTTTTATTTAATTTGTTTACATTAATTTCAATTCATATTCATTTATTTGCAGGCGTTTTCGTTATTTATATTTTTTTAATTTATAAATTTAATTGCTAGTTCCGTGTCGTCTAAATATTAATATCGTTTCTGTGTGGTGCCGTCGCATTCATCAAATCATTTTAATTGGCCTTTTTCACTAAATATCAGAGCTGGGCCCAAGCTGCCGAATGCCAAACTTCTGTTCGGTTTTATTTACATGAAAAGCCATTGTCCGTCCCCAAATGAGCCTGGCATTGAACTTTTTATTAAGTTCATAAATATTTGATTCAATTCATTAGTGAATTTACTATTTTGTTCGCCCATTCAGAGTGTGTTGTACGATTTGAATATGCAAGTTCGAAGTTCGATCTTCGTTTTACTTGAAAGTGTGTTTGGCAGCAATTGTTTTTGAAAGGCTTGGTATGCACTGCGCATTAATTATTGATTACAATTGATAATTGCACAGCTTGAAAGTCAATTTGAAGGCGCTGTTCACGTACCCATCGCGCATCGATCATCTGCTGTGAAATCTCAAAACTGAAAAGTATCTGGGCCCAGGGAAAAATTCCGCAATTAACATAATAAATAACTATGAAAGTATTCTGACGAGTGATAGGTAAACAACACGAAAGGAAAAAAACAGCAATAATAACACATCTTCACTCGTACATATTGCCAGTCGCAGGCAAGGCCTATTCCGCACTTGATAACTAAATAGCCAACCAACTAACTAACTAATTATCTCATTTGGAACTTTTGTTTGGCTGGCCGCTACAGTCATCCGCATCGTCAGGTTTTGATTGTTGTTGTAGCTGTTGTTGCATCGTCATTTACTCAATAGCTAGGGTGCAGTGATTGACAAAGTCATTCGCATTGACAATGTCGGAGCGCAAGAAATTTGCATTATTATTCAAAGTTTATTTAACGTCGCACTGCTTATAACTTTTAATAGACTCCAAAATTGAACAACCCATGATTTCTTCAATGAAGATGAAACTGCTTCTCAGACTTAAAATAACATTTTTAAAATGGAAGTGTGAGTGAAACCTGAAATGAAGGCCCATATTTAGATAATTGTCAGGGAGATTTATTAAGAACCAGATATAGCAGCTCCTGACATTTCGCCTTTCAGTTTTTATTCCAGCTGCATTGCATTTTTAAGTAATTACCTAATGACCACCAAATTATTTTCAATTAATCTAATTACTATGCCTCTAATCTACTTTTCTTGTGGGCTATTCTACAATCTATGTTATTGTAATTACAAATACCGAGAACATTAAATCTGTGAATTAAATTGGAACTTTAAATTAGTTGAAATTACTATGGATATGATTTGATATGATCGTTTACCATCAAGCAACGTAATTAAAATCCGAAAGGATTATATATAAATCGAAAACTTCTGTGGTGCATTCTTGGCTTATCAGACGTTTTATTGTTTGAATTTATTTAAAAATTCAAAATTAATTTATAAATAATAATAATTATTGAAATACTTTTTCCAGTTAAGTAGTTAAGTAAACCTTCAGTTACTATGCTAAGAAAGTTTTGTGTCTGATAATAGTCTTGCTTCTACTTTATTGGCCACTAAGCAGCAAGCAATTTTTATTGGCAAACTAATTGGAAATATTAATTGCCCACAAGAAAGTGGGTGTTGCTGTCGAATGGCATTGAGTTTGGGATTTCATAGGCTCTCTGTACGCCGCTGATTATAAGTAACAGGAAACCCTAGCGCCATGCATCATAGGCATATGCTCGTTAGGTAAATACAAATTAATTAAAAACGAAAACAAAATTACGAGTCTATTTGCCCCACTGACCTCCAGTTTTTTAACTCATACCTTCGATTACATACTACGAGTACGTTCTGTTTTCAAACTAGTGGTGTTGTGTGGTGTTACTTGTTTTTGGTTGGAAGTTGACGACTCGTCGCCCGAGAGATGTGTTTGCTTTGCCATTATTATTAAATTTGGCCGGGGCAAAACTTACGACCGTGGCTTGTTAAGCAAATAAGTCACTTGAAAATCGGTCGGGCAAAAAAGTGAAGAAACGCAAAACAACAAAGCAACGATGAGCTCTGAGCTGTGAGCTGCGAGCTGTGATCTGTGAGCCGTACAACAATATTGTGGATATCGTCGAAGGTGTGACCGGCCACGCATATGACCCCAATTGGATATAAAAATTAAAATGCCATTTGACATAGCATCGCCGACGAGAGTGCAGACTAAAACTGAAACTGAAACTGGAACTGAAACTGGAACTGGCAACCCACTGATGGTGATGGTGATGGCGATGGCGATGGCGACGGCGGGGACGATGGTGTCACCAAAATGTAATAATCGTAAAATACATGCATCACAAGAGATGAACATTATTTGAAGTTGAAGCCAACGTGCGAACGGATGTGGCAGATGGTGCCAAAAAAGATTGATAGTAGCAAGCGGAGGATTGCGCAGCAAGTTGGTCGTGTTTGCTAATTGCGATCAGAGAGTAACAATGAGTTCATAAATAAGCAAATTGCGCGCATGTGTGGCTCAATCCACTCACGCACACTCACGCACACACCTGTCACTGTCACTGTCACTGTCGTGATGCCTTCTCCGAAGGGCATTCGACCAAATTATGAGAAATTGTTAACTTTTGCGACCAACTCTTACGGTTTTATGTATTTTTACGTTTAGCACTTTTTGGTCATCTTCTTCTGCGCGATGATGATGATGATGATGGTGATTATGATCATCATCGAACTTGGCTCGTTACGTCAAAAATGCATGGCTAAGGGAAACCAGGCCGATGATATAATGCCAGCCACCTGAACCAAATTGCCACGTTTTGTGGAACTGCAATGCCAGTCTCAGGCTCAGTCTCAGCCTCAGCCTCAGTCCCAACCCCAGCATCATCTTTATGTTGCGCGTGTAACAGTTTTTGTTGTTGCTGTTTTTTTTATATTTTTTTGATCAATCGCCTTCCATTTACATATGGGCTAAATGCCGTGCTTCGCATTAATGATTGACTTAAATCTCTTATGTGTGTGTGTGTGTGTGTGTGTTACAGCTTGATATGTTTTTGGCGCTTTTGTAAGCTGGTTTTTTCTCCCATCTGCTTTTTCTTCCCTGGTCGGGTGTCTTATTTATTTATACAATATTTAGTCTCGGCGCCACTCTCTGCATTGTTCGTATATTGTCCGTTGTTGTAAGCGCTGCCACTTTCGCAATGGCCCGAAACTCAAATCAAACTCAAATTGGTAACTCACACACACACACACACACATACACACACTGGACAGACTGAACAGTTTTGGATGTGAGAAGTGTATGCATAATTTATTGGACCATTGATGCAGCTCTGTAGCATATTATTTTACTTGCCTTTTTTTTGCTGATTGGCGGCTAGTGGCGTCTGTTAGTGCACAAAATCCTTACAACAATATGTGAAATTTTTGTAATACTTGTATTCTTTTCTCTTCTTATCTCCTTTCAAGTCACTCTCGACACTGTCGATAACACACTTGGCAACTGAGAACAGAAATCCTGCGAGATTTTCAGAATTTTTTGAAACTCGATTCGATGCGAAATACGCGCACGCGCCGCTTATCCTTAGGCTATCGGAATAGTGCCCGACACGTACAGAACCCGACTATATATGTGTGCGTGTGTGTGTGCCTAAGGGTGCCTATGGGGCCAGCTCCACACGATTTGCGGTTACTTTGCGGTTGAAGCGCCGACAGCAGACTAAGCGACAAACGGACGAGGCGAGCCGTCTTCTATGCGTCGCAGACATCGTCCAAGCACCCGATGTGCGATCCGTTGCCGAGCACCCAACGAGTGGCGCTCGTCGTTCAAGCGAACCAGTTCCGACCTGTTTCTATGAGTGTGGTTGTGAGCGTCTGTGCCTGCGTGTGTGTGTGTGTGTGTTGCTTGTTTTTTTTTGCTGATCTGCGTTCATGTTGCATGTTTTTCTGGGCTCTGCGAAAGGTTCTAGGCAGCTCTCTTCCAACATACAACACACAAAGAGAGGGAAGAAGAGAGAGTGAGTGGGAGTGATTGGTGAGTGGGTGTGAGAATCGCAGAGAATGGCAAAGTGAGAGTGGATGTGAGAGAGGATGTGTACAAAGTTCAAAAAGCCGGACATTTGGCCGTTTGAATTGACGCCTTATAGCCAATAATTAGCTGATAATTACCATAAAATTAATGCACATGCAATCACCATCATAGCTATTTAGCATTAAGTAGTTACAAGTAAACGCCCACGAGCGAGTTGTTGTAGTAGTAGTAGTAGTAGTAGTAGTAGTTGTTGTTGTTGTTGTTGCAACCATAATGAATGGCATGTGCAGCAAGCAACTGAACTGCGAGTACAGTAGTTCAACACGATTATTACTCTTGCATTTGGCCCAAAGGTACAAATGCAAGCAACTCGGCCCATTTGGCTGAATGCGCAAAATATTGTGCAATTAAATGGCACCAAAAGCCAGCACAGCACTACAAGCCACAACAACAGCCACACGTTAAGCATTCCAAACTTTAACTTTAACGGCCACTTGACAAGTTTAGCAAAGTCATCGACAAGCAGCAGCGACTTCATTATGTACACACACGTATATGTATGTACAAGTATGTACATTATGTGCAGTATGTACTTGTATGTATATGTAGTGTGTATGGGTTCTCCTACAAGAAGTACTTCAGTTAAAGTTAAATAAACGAAAAGCTGCCAACGATTTTCTGTTCAGTATCGCGTACGTAGTTTCCAAACTACAACTATGCCGCCTATTTGAAGTCGAAACATATATTTCGGGGCTCAACTGGCCAAAGATATTTCTCAAACCCCACTGATCCAATAGACCATGCATGTCTGACCCTAACTTGATCGTACTTTAAAACATTGTACAAAAAAGCGGCCCAGAAATCGAAGACATAAAGGAGACTAAATTCTACTTCCTATTCCCTTAACCCTATCATTAAATAGAAAAAAGAAAGCTATGTCAGTAATTCTTAGACCCTCAAACCTAACAATTTTAAATGCCTAATATATCTACAATAAAATAATTACATTTCTAGTGCTGCAATCGAGCTACCTTATTTATAAACAGAGAGTAAATAATAATTAAAACAAATATCAATTTAAATACAATTTCATTAAATGACAACCTCTTGGTTTACGAATGAATAATTAAATGTATTTCGAAGAGGTAAATAATTAAGTTTCTAGTAAATCGAACAATTTGGCATACAATTAAATTAAAATACGACATAGTTGACAAAAGCGAGCAGAGGTCGCTTAAGCTCATTACAAAATCTAGTTGGGCTTTAATTATTTGTTTAAAGGCTTTCAATTATTTGATTTGTTTTGCCTTACAAATATTTTAATGTAACTTCCAGTTGTGAACAGAAAACAATGTTTCATTAAGAACAAGAGTATCTTTCGTGTAAAGAAGGCATCGTCTGTTTAAGTAGTCATCAATTAAAATACCCCTAGTAGATAAGTTTGTAAGTTTTGTTGTATTGTCGCAATGAAGTTTTTGAATCCTTTATTAAATACTTCGGTTGGCAGTTTTTTCTGTAGACTCCCTCTAAGTATCTACTTACCTTGCAGAGTAAGTGCTTTGTCGAATATGTTTGGATAATTCTAAAGATTCTGGATTGCACTCGTTGAATAATGTCCACATTGCTGGCACAAGTACTTCCCCAAAGCTGGCAGTAGAGATCGTGTGTAATAAACCAGGATGTAGTATACAGCGTCATTCGACTCGCGAACATAAAACTGCTTAGAACCGGGGGAGTGCAATCACGCTTTGCTTTGATGCTCCATCACTAATTCATCAAAGCCGGTAATAGCTATGGATGGTGAAAAGATATGCGACTTAGCTTTTAAGACAAACACAAATCAACAAAATCTTAATTTGAATACTTACCAAATAATTATTGGCTTGCAAAGTGTAGTTTATTGAAAAAAGCAGCAGCCGAGAAGGCTACAATCATCGACGCTTAAAAGATATAACAACTTTATGTTTGAGTTTATTATTTTGTGCCAAGCCAGCGCCCATAGCTGCTGCCGATAGTCGCACTCAACGCCGGCGCATTTGCCATAAAAATCAGCTTGCATATCGATTCGTTCATTCACAGATTTGTGCCTCGCCCGCCCAATTCGGACACACGTTGAGCTTTAGTTGAGCTTCCCTTCCGCATATTGAAGGTCAGCCCGACACTTTCGCATTCCGATCGTGCCCATTTGGGACGCTATTTTGGGGCGGCACACGCCGCTCATTTGAATTTTGGACAGCAGCAGCAACAAAAGCACTTACAACAGCAACAACACGCTGCTGATAAACAACTCAGTACTGTGATGGGAACGACTAAGCGTGCGTGGCAAAATCAAAAGTGCCCGATAGAAGATACTAAATATTTCACGATTCTAAAATGCGGCTTCTGAGTTTGCGTGCGCATTCAGAAGCTTTCATTCGATGACTATTGAAATAAGCCGACATTTAATTGATTTCAAATTAAATACCACGGCATCACAAGCTTATATTATACTCGATTTAAAGATCGTGTATTCGGAAAGAATGGTGGCTGAAGCTTTAGCTTTCATTCGCTTTCATTCTGGATAAAATCCGACTTGAAATATCCCTATTGAGAAGTATTGAATAAACAAGTTTGGTTTTTATATATGTACTTGTATTGCTTAACGTTTGTCTTGCAAGCTGAGGTAACACATTTCGTATGAAATCATATTCCTGACATTAAAGCAGCTTTATTTAATTAAAACATTGTTGTCTCCCTCGCTTCTCGCACGCTGACGACTCTCGACTCAATCAAATTCAAAGTCAATGTCGCACAGCGGAAACAAAAGACTTAAAGCACAAACTTGCGCCAGTTTACCATAAAAGCCAACGGCGCATATGTGAGCATTGGCTGTGTATCTCTGTGTGTGTATCTGTGTGTGTGTGTGTGCTTTGTTGTTGGTTTTTTTGTGAATGCTCATTTAACGACTTATTCGATTAGGTTTTGTTTTCTATTTATTTATTTGTATGCTGTATTTATAAAAGATAACAACAGATGAAAAAAATTGGCAGTCTCTTGCGCCAACTGGCATGTTTGTATGCCTGTGTGTGTGTGGTGTGTGTGTGTGTGCGTTGATGATTCCTACATTATACGCTTTTAATGTATTTGAACTTGACAAGCCATCATCCGCTCCATAGCTACAGCATTTGCATGAAAACGCCATCGCTCCGCTGTTTGTAAATGTCTGCAAGACACACACACACACACACACTTACACACACCTGCTAGCTAATGCGATGAACAAAAAATTCTGCTCGCTCTTTTTTTTGTAGCAATTGTGTACATCAAAACCCAATTTATGCATAACATTGTCCGTTTTTGGTTCGTTATTATTTCTTTCCACTGGTGGGCAGGAGGGAACTCCTCCAGGGTCGCAGCAGATCGGGCTGGGTGTAGAAATAGTCTACATGCACGAGAATGTCGCTGGCAAGTGCTATGCCTATTAGCAATCAATGAACCAGAAGCTTAACCCGCACTAGTCGCCGATTCAGCCTTGACCATAACACTTAAACGCCGGAAACCTTCGATATCTAAGACCAGTTGTGGTGTATCCAATGCCTGTGTCTGTGTGTGCTATGTGTGTGTGTGTGTGTGTGTGTCTTGAAATCAACTGCAGAAAATCATTAATAAACGGCTGAAGCAATGAAACCCAAAAGCATCGTAGGGAGGGTGTCATGAACTTCATGCAATGAGCGACGGCATTGAACTACAATTGAGTGTCGACTGTTGATGGCTGATCGAACAAAACACTTCCGCATACGCAAATATACACATGTACATATGTATATGTATGTATGTATATGCGTGCATGTGTACTCGCATGTGCATATGTGTATGTGTGTGTGGGGCCCTTCTACTCGACCAAGTGACTCACAAAATTGCTGCCACAAACGCCAATTGTCAACAAAGTCGTGATAGAAATTAAGTCTAATGACAATAATTGTGGTTCGCGTGCATCGCGCACTTCACAATTGAAAGTGAAAGCTCAGCCAAGCGCAGCAACAACAACAACAACAACTGCTGCCACAGCAGGTGCTGCTCGTATCTGGTCCACCCTAAGTAGAAACACGCACGCGTCTTGCACTCGAGCTCGCGAAATGCGATCCAACCAAGCAATTTGGTCAGTTGGCCGTTGGATCGTTGGATTGCTGAGCTACTTACCATAACCAGTTGTTGTTTGGTGCCCCCGCATCTGGATAAATAAGATCAGAAAAGAGCTTAGATGCGAATGCGCCGAAGCTGTATACACTTCACTGCCCTACTTGCACCAACAACTTAAAATAAATAAACCATAGAGTTCCCGTACCATCTATTTTGCATTTCGTCATCAGGCATGACTACAACTTATTCCTCCTCAGTCATATCGTTTTCAGCGCGTTTGGAATTCCTCCCGTCATGCGTCATGGCCCCAGCGCCAAAACAACAGAGTCCAACAGGTAGGTAGAACGTTAAAGGCGCGCCAGACCGACTCTTCAATACTCTCTGCCCACCCGTGACAATTATTGCTGTTGCATAAGCTTCATTGTACCAATCATTCCTATGGCAGCTATTCGACAAACATACTATGATTTGATAGAATCTTCAGATTATGAACAGCTTTCCATTCGGATTTCTCCAATATAATGGAACTTGGAACGTTTCAAGTTTTCTGGTTTCTTGTACTTACTTTAATGATCCAAGTTATATTTTCACCAAAAGAATATTGCATCACTCGGATCACAACATCCTTATCCGACCATGTAATATAAGACCATATGATAGGACTCTTCCCTTAAACGTTCAATTTCGGCTTCAGGTTCTGTTGAGTGGTTCTTGAGTGGCATGAGTTAATATAATATTTTATATTACAATCCTATATATACTTAATGGAGGGCGAGTGCGATTTGGATCTCCATTTCTGACTGACATACTACAGTGAAAACTCCCTTAATGGACACCTCTTTTATCCGGACTCTCTCTTCGGCGGACACTTTTTCCAAAACGTTCGATCGGTGTATCGGTACCTTTTAAATATCCCCTTATGCGGACACTCCCCTTGGGCGAACAAAAATTGGCCGACCGTGAGTGTCCGGCAAAGAGAGGTTTCACTGTATACTATATCTTGCCATGCCTTATCAAATAATGTGCTTAGCCATTCAGAATGGGGGCCAATTATGTAGCTAGAAATTGTTAAGTGAGTTTAATTCCGCAATACTCCTAAACTATTCGGTTGAGCGTTCTATTAGACACCAACTCCAACAACCTAAAGAATAAATCAATTATTTATTTGAAAAAATCAGCGAATTTCTTAGATGTGCTTATCTCTGCCATGAACTGATTATTTTGATTGCGCCCTACTTCCGTTTTACGGCTTGAGCTTCCAGCTATTTACATTGCTGAGATCTAATCAGATAGGCCGCCTACCTCTGGGTGAATCAACTAGATTGACAGCATCGACGCAGTAATAAACAGGTAAGTTAGTAGACGCTTTAATAGCGCTTTAATTTATGATCTTGTAAATCTTATCGCTTCAGCCTCACCTTCAACTAGTTTGCTCTCAATTTTTGGCTTGTTTGGCCGACTTTTGGGCCGGAACTGTTTGGCTTAGCTTCCGCACCAGGTTCGCCCTGTTTGGTCGAAACGAGCAAACCGTTGAACTTGAAATTCAGAAATCATTGACGGAATAGCGTCAGCCAAATAAAGAGTGGCTTTGAACAAAGTCCACTCGCGCCACTGGATTTGGCCATATCGGGAACTTCTGTCATCACGAAAGAACAGAAACCGCAAAAAGCAGAATCCGCAGACTAGACCACGGTTGACTTGTTCAAGCGGGTCAAAGTCAACTTTTGAACCGAATGTGCCAGTCATCTTCGCGCCGAGCCAAAGACCCGACTCTGGCTGGCATCTGATCTACTGAGCTCACGACCTGCCAATGTGCCCGCTCTGCAGCACAGATACTGCCAATTTGTATACTATGCCGTATACAGATCGGTTGAGGGGCACGAACTCTTGCAAAAAACGACCAAAAAGAAACCAAAACTAAATTCGAAACTAAAACCGTAATCAAAGCATGGCTAGACACCATCGGCGGCCATATAAATCGATGTTTTCAGTTGCTTTAATTAGTTTTGCTTTTTTTCCACAAATTAGTCGTTCATGGCTAGCTGTTTTGCTAGAGAGCCGCGTGCGAGACGCTCGCGTTTTTAATCGCGTCCAGTTCGACGCCATATCGGAGAATCAAACAAAAACACTGCTCTGTAGTCTTCTCATCCACTTTATTGCTTTGTCTGTTGTTTGTTATTACTTGTACTCATATGCTATGGTAAGATATTCTGCAGAAGCAAACGCTATGATAGCCGCAATATGGGCTTGTTGCATAGTTGCGTGTGTGTGTTTCTGTGTGTGTGTGTGTTGTGTGTGTGTGTGTTGTGTGTCAATTGAATGCAGAGAATACAACAATTTCGACCCCACATAAAATGTTCATTTTCAGAACAGATGCATCGAGTCTAGGTCTAGTCTCAGCCGCATGCATGGGTAAGATAAAACTACGGATTAAAACTACTAAATTAACAACAAAGAGACGCTGCTACTTGCTGGTCCCTCGTTTCCCGTTTCCATTTACTTTCACAAACTAAGCCCTGAGACGCGAAGCCACTAAGGGCAGCTCCTTCACTGTGCTCAGCTAAGTACCAGCGTCCCCACTACACTCAAAACGTAAACTAAAAATAAACAAATTTTGCTTTAGAAATACATTGTAAGTATATTAATTAGGCTACTGCGGATTTTCATTCGATTATAATAAACGCTTCTTTCTACATATTTTGTAATGCAAGAACTTTGATCTTACTCGATATAAGGATATCTGTATGTATGTATTTATGGTTGTATATGAGTGTATATATGTATGTAAGTATGTGTATGAGCGTCTGTTATCGACTATAGGCTGTGCGCGGCGCTGAATGCATCAACCATATAACAATGTTCAGATGTCAGCCAAACGCTAAAACGGCTTTAAAACTGCACAAATTGGCTAAGTCGCTCCGGTTCCTCTGCGGAGTTCTTCTAAGTATGTTTGTATGCAAAAATGTATGGAAGTTTTATGTGTGTGTGTGTGTTTGTGAATGTTTGGACTTATATGCTGACTGTTCCTTGGTATAAGCTATGGGTTGGCGTCTGCTCGAAGTTGTCTTTAGTAAAATTCTGCATTAACAAGATCTGCTGCTGCTGCTGCTGTTTCCGATGCTGCTCCTCAGAAGGTAATGGGCTCGATGGGCACAGCACACTCGCCCACGGTGACGCGGTACATAGCCATCTCAGATATTCCATGATAGTGCACGAAGGCGGCGGCAATAACGAGCACGTGGAACAGCTGATGCGATTGAAACTGCAAAGACCAACATCGATTAGTAGAGATCACTAATTTCTCTGCCAGTCGGAGGAAAGGACCTTACCCAAATATCAAACTTGCCGGGAAACCAACGCTCGGGCACACGCAGCGCATACAGCAGAGCGCCAAGTATGTAGAGCGTGCCTGAAATTATGGCAAATACAATATTTTAGCAATACAAACAATAGAGACAGATAAGAATGTAACCCATACACACTCTAATGTTCACAAATATACATATTTTTGCAATGCAATCAATAGAGACAGATAAGAATGTAGCCAGCACATACTAAGGTTCACAGTGTTCTAGAAATTTAATTTGTAGAATTCGATAAGGGCTGACAATAAGCGAATATTCAAAAGCTACGTTCAACGACCCAACGTCTGCTCTAGTGATGTCCTATCCCTTAGAGGGGATGCTTTGGAAGCGCTTTGATGCCATTATTTAATGATATTTGCTGTGCAATTAATACGGTTGTTATTTCAACACCAACTCGGTCTAGAAAGGCCGCTAAATTATTTAAATTATGTTCAATTGTTTTAAAATCTAATATTTTTACAAAAACCAGTTCTAAATAAAGTCTGCTCAGATTTACAAAACGTTTGTATAGTATTAGTTACAATTAGTAGTGGTAGCTCCTATATTATACATGCTTACCCATTAGTATAAGCCAACCGAGACTGGCGCGACTGATTTGACTGATCCAGCCCTCCATGATGCTGTAGTGTACTGCCGGTATGATGCCAGCCAGGCCGAAGCTCATGAAAACGCCAGCGCGTAGTGGGCGCAGAGCCGGCTCGGAGAACTTGTCCCACAGCGACACTATAATGGAGAGGCAGCCAAGTACACAGACCACTGATAAATATATGACTTTGGGCTGATAATGACAATAGAAGCCGTAGTATACCCAGGGGACGAAGGAGCCCATAATAAGTAAAGCAATTCCACAATAATCTAGCCTGGAGAGGAGTAAGTTCGATATGAATTCATTTGGATCATCGTAATTTGGGGCGCACTTACTTTGAAAACAGTCTTCCAATCTCTACCGAGTGACAGCTTAACGTATGAAAAGCGAACGAGAATCCTAAGCAAATAATGGCGCCCATGAAGAAAGCGCCGAAAACAATTTTTTCCTGTGTCTGTATTTCCACCGACGGTCGAGATATGAAATACAGAGCCACACCAATGAAAGCAATGCAGCCAAGCAGATGTGTCCAAATGTTGCCTGTTTCTGTATGCAGCCGGAATATAGATTTAAAACAGGCGCTGAACGAGGGCAGCGGCGGCCGATGGCCCCGATGCAGAAAGTCATTATCCTGCAACCATTTGGGCAAATTTTTGTAGTGACACACTTTCCAGCTGGCCTCCCACACCTGCGATCGTACAGAAATGATTAGAATGTGATGCCATAATGCCGTACGGCTAATGATAATGCTGCTTACCTTGCGCACAAACTCCTCGGCCTGCTCTGCAGCATTATGCGCCAAAGCGCCCAAATCGATTTCGTCTGAAAGCACACCTGCCTTCAGCACTTCCGTCATCTAAGGGGCAAACAGATAAGACATTATATATACAAATAGAAAGCTATGACGCATTTCGAAAGACAGAAGCTAACATCTTCCTCGCCTGCTTGAGCTTGAACAGTGTCCTCGTCTTGCAGTTTTCTATAGGATTCGAGCGGTAGGTTTGCCGTGTCCACCTGCACGCTCAGAACAACTTCGGACGCGGACTTGTTCCTGGGCTCTTGCATCTTGAAAACCAAAGTAAATCAAACACAAATGCTCCAACGATCCAACGGGCCAACGAAAGTGCGCGGCACGAACTGTGCTGGCACTTTGTGACTGCTGTTATTCGCATATGTATATGTTTTGTGTGTGTAAACAGTTTGTTTCAATACGAGTATTGCTCGCAAAAACAAGCGTGCGCGTAAGGCGATAAGATAAGAGTGCTCGCCACCGTTAGCATTAGCGCTCTCATCTGCAATCAAGTGCTGTTGACGGCTATTTTGTTGCCCTCCCTTTATACGGACGCGATGCGGAGCCCAAAGCCCCTCGTTTGGCCTAATCTGCACCTGGCCTTGAAGTGAAAGAAGCATTCATAGCAAAAACACTAATTGCGAAAAAATACAGCGAATATATTTAGTCCACTATTAAATACACTGTACCAGTTCCTAACTATTTTTAGATTAACTAAGTCTACATATATTGTAAACATCGGTCCAATTGCAGGGAATTTCATTACGTTGGCATATTCTGCCTAAAAGTATAGAACAGTTATCGTTGGGGTTATTGATCAATTTTAACATAAAACTCTCAATAATTCAGTGAAAAGATTACTGCCTCCACATGACTTAAATAACTATGCTCTTCACATACATTACCAGATTGTGAATGTACCCCAATGATGGCTGAGTTAAGGGTATGGCGCGAAACACAGATTGGCCGGCAAAAGACAAAAACAAAACACAGAAATAGATGTCGCGCCTCAGACATTTCCGTTCACGTCTACGTTTAGGGCCCCGTACCACCGACTAATTCTCCATTTTATCATCGCCTTCGTTCTCGACGTTTACGACGCGACAACCTTCAATTGACTGTAAATGAATGCACTATGCCATCGCACTCGAATGCGTTTGCAATTCTTCGACCACTATCGACCAAGCGATAACCACGCACCAACGGGTCAAAGCTATTGAAAAGCAGGCGCGTGCTCCTTTCCACGTAACTCAATTTGTTGCTATCATTTGACATGGGACATGGGGAATGGCCGCCGAAAACTTACCTCTGCCTCAATGAGCTGTGTATCCTCCGGGGTCGAGGGCAGCGGGCAGCCAGCATCATCCTCCTCGACCAGCTCGTCGTCATCGTCACCGAGTAAATCCAAGTCGTTATGGCTGAGCGAATCCTCTGGACCCCAGCCGCGCCGTTTGCGCAATATCATCTTCACTTGCTCGAACATGTCCTCCACATCGTCGTTGTTTTCGCTGCGCAGTGCCGCGGTCGTCGTCGTGGTTAACACCTCCACTGACGAGTGCACGGGCGAATCCAGTTCGCTCGCCGGTATGGTGGCACTGGTACTGGCCTCGACGCTCAACTCATTGGCTGAGACGTCGCGTTCCAGCAGGCTCTTAGCCGATTCGAATTCCATGGTCTGGGCCGCAAACGGTTGGAGTGCCAAACGAAATTTCTAAAAAATATATACAAGAAAAATAATGGGATTTTGAGTGAGGTGTGTCGGTTTCAAATTTGTCTGATTACAAATTATTTTGTTGTTATTATTCACAGAATGTGCACGTCCACGTCGTAGAAATTGTCGAAGCACCTATTACCTATCGCAACGAACAAAGTGCTTAGTTCATATATAATTGACCTTTGTATCTTGCAAGTGTGCGTGTGTGTCTGTGTGTGAGTGTACGTTGGGTAGTTTATTTTTTCACTTAGCCGATTCGTTTAGCGTGTCATAAAAGCGTTTGGAGACGCAACAAGCCACTCACATGCCCCATTCATCTTTTACCTAATCCTGTTTACATATGCATACATATGTACAAATATGGATAACTTTATACATATACATGTGTTTGGTGCCACCAACTGGAGTGGTGTGTAACAGACTGCGGTTGCGTTCATCGCCTCCTGCTCATGTGACTGTGAGGGGAGGAAGGGATGTTGTAGCGCAGGTGGTTTTGTATCGCGTTCGTTTCCCAGCAATTATTAATTGACCAGACGTCACGGGCCCTCATCTCATTTAGAGTTTACGTTTAACACACATTAACTACACAATGCCGTGCCTAATTTATTTCCAGCACAAAATATCACTCGTTTCGTTTTGGAGACGCAATTTTTTCCATTATTTAGGCCATGGCACAGTTTTCACCTATTATATGACACTTACTTGTAAGAGTAGAGCGATATTCAGTGCAATAACTTCAATCGTAGGTTTTTCTAACCTTAATTGAAGTTAGCAACCAAATGATTTTGTATATATACGAAAAATTTTTAAACAAAAGAATTAAATGAATTATATGAAGCACTGCGACAACAGACCGACCGTACTTAACAACGAAAAGAACAGGGTAACCTTATTAACATCACCCTGCCAGCTTGGCAAATTGATTTTTGCGTTTCATGAGCATTTCGCGAGTTGGCAGCACTGAGGAGACGTCGCTTGCGACGAATTCGAACAGCGCTACCATATCATAGGTTTCGGATGCGACAAAGAGTGTAACCCCATGTGATTAATATTAGGCAGTACAGAAAGAGCGGCAAATTCGAAAGAGTTTTAGCTTTTGTTTAGTTAATGAGTATCTGAATAAGATACCTAATTTCATTTTTAACATTCGTGATTTAGAGCCTTATTAAGGATTTTATTTCCTTTATATACGAATTTGCAATAATCAAAAGTACAAAATATTTGTGCATAACGAGAAAATTAATTTTTAGTAAGCAGACCCAACAATATCCGACATTATTTATCAAAACAAATTCATAGTTTTAAAGTTGTTCAAATGTAATCAAGACATAAAAATCTTCTCCCAAAACTAAAATACAAGTATATCAAAAATTTAACAATCTATTAAATGCATTGTTAAGTTGTAACTTTGGGCACGCACGCCTCAAAAATTGTAATTATTTTTTGACACGTTCAGCTTTTCACGATTACGGTGTTTTTCATACAAGATTTTGAGATTTCGTGAAGTTTCGTGAATTTATGAATGGTGACCTCTTCATGAAATTTTAAGTAATTTTGGAATTCACGTTAATTTCTACCGTTTGTATCATTCAAAATTTAATTTCCCGTCCATATATAACATTCAAACACATCGTTTCTATGTCAGTTTAGCAATACACATTGTGGTCCAAACTGGCTCAAATTTTATCATATAATACCATAGGTAGGGATATCCAATCCGTATAGCTTTCGTTTATAAACAGAAAAGATTTTCAAACTTTTACATAAGCTCGTACATTACTCATTTTTTGTTGTAAGTTCTTCAGAAACTATGAAGTTGACTAATTTGTGTATGTAATATACAATAATCTGTTTGGTTTTATAGTGCCACAAGAATAAAAACAAAAATAAATATGCGTGTATAACTCATACATCAAAGTTTTTCAGTAAACAAAATCTCATTACAAAATCACATTATAGTAAGACCTCCATCGAGAAATACCCAAATCATGAACTTGTTTTCATTAGTTGTCATTAGAGTCTGTCTCATTATCGCGTAGATTGTTCTGACGGCATCAACTTAAAGGGTCAACCGGTTACGATCGATTTCAGCAGAAGCGTTGGATATTTCCCATAACTTCCATTTCAATTTCATCAGAAGACCTTTTGGAAATAGAAAGCACTTTTATATATATATATTATATTTTATGTATATATTATTCAATTACTTTACTAACAATCTAAATTAATGAGATAAATATCTAATTATTATCATATTCTATACAAAGTGGGAAAAAATATACTTATATTAGTCAGACATTATCGTGCATTATTAACCATACTAGATAACGCAATCGAATCTATACTTCAGAATTAAACTGAGTTGTGTTGAGGAAGGTCTAACATTTTCTCCATCACAACGGAATCATAGTAAATACTAAGTCTTAAGTGGACTAAGCTACGAATGCTCTTCAAATTGTTATGTTCACAGCGAATATTGTTGTTTGCTTCATTTCAATAGATGTGTCAGTAAATATTAATAATGTGCTTAAACAATATTGGACGATATCCTGCCTGGATATGTAAATCGGCAAATGCAAAACAACAATTACAAAATGACGCAACAGACCGCATTGGTATACTTCTACTGTTCGATCCTAATTTTGAAAATCTGATTACTTCGGTCGATGCGGGAATTTCTAAATTGAAATGTTTCGGAAAATTGTGAGCAAAATTATGTCATTATTCCGTTTATGGAAATCAGGGTAGTTCAAAATGTTAGCCAGGTGTAAATTTTGGCACTTTTAATGATAGTTCTACCATATACGAGCACATGTGTATAATTAAAATTTCCACTCTCTGTCGATGTCATGAATGCTGTCATAAATTTCGTGTTCACCTGTGCTGGGCCGGGCTACGACAAATTTGTGACCTGCGTGCTTTAAAAAGCCTGTTTCGTGGCCGTGTCGTTCCGGGCCGATAAAGCTCATCTCTACTTTGTAGGGGATGTGACAAAATGTTTCTCATAAACAACATATTTGAAAAGTGCAGCGACTTTAAATTTGACAACTGATTGCAAGGAAGTATATTAATGTAATGTATCCCATTTCTCCCCGACTATTATTATTTAATATTGTTAAGAAATGAATTCAATTTGAGAAGATTATAGCCGCATTTTCTGAGGTCTTCAATTGAGAACTAAACCAGGTCAACAAGGTGGCTAATTCTGATGAGCCTTAACACCGAACTGAACTCGGCCAAGGATGCTCGGTTCTGCGATTGCCGTTAGCAGAGGCAGCCGGCTCAGTAGCGGTATTCGTCGTCAGTCGTCAGTCGTCGCCGTTGAAGTTCAGGGACTTTTGGCGAAGCGGGACGGCAGAGAAAACAAAAGACAAAAGCAACAACAACCGATGAGCGAACGACGAACCAACGCTAATACATGCTAAAGAGCATTAATAAACATGTTTATGTTTAATCAATGAGCCTAACATGAAGACCCGGAAGATGAATCTGTGTCTGTTTCGGCTTAAGCAATTTCCCAATTGGAACAAACATTTGCAGTGGCAATTAGAGCTTGCGGGGAAAGTATGTGAAACCGATCCGCCCTATTTGTAGTTCCCACCTGTGGAATGTGACCCCCTGTCCCCTCTCCCATCGACTACCCCAACCCCAACCCCAACCCCGATCTCAACCAAATCCAAGCCTTGCGCAAGTGCGGGACGCATGACAAAAGAAAAACTTAAAGCCGAGTAGTGTGTCAACATAGTTAACAGCCCGATTGAGTCATGGGCAGACGTGTCTGTTGACGTGACGTCGATGGCTAATCAATGGAGCGCTTCTCTTGTTGCCACAGACACTGCTGTTGTTAGTTTTGTTGTTGTTGTTGTCGTTGTGCGTTGTGCGTTCGCCCGCACGGCCAACAGCAACATGTTGGGGTTAATAAACTTGTTGTTCAAATGAAAGCAACAACAACAGTGTAAATTGGGCAAAATCCGCAACAACCAACGCCGAGCTTTCTTCCACACACATACACACACACACAAACACGCACGCATGCACGCATGCACACACATATACCTTTACATATACACAGTTAAGTGTATTGTTTCGTGCATTAATTACTTCAAACTTGACCTTACCACCAAAAGCGATAACAACAGCGCAGCAACAAACGAAAATCGGCCATTAAAGCGGACTTGCATGCAAAAAGCAGTGGAAGAAGAAGAAGAGGGAGAAGAAGCAGAAAAGGTTTTGCCAAACGACGCCTGCGTCTGCGTCGGCGCCCGCATTCTGACAGCTGCCTCGCTGCCGCTGTCTCTTAAAGTTGAAGCCAACGCCGACGCCGACGCCAACGACAACGCCGACGCTCGGTGCTCGACGACACTCAGCGGCCGATCATTTTGTTTATTTATACACCTGAGCGGGTAGAACTCCGTATTAGTGTCTTCTTGGCGTCCGCAGTTGACGGTTTTCCGAACAGACTCCTCAAGCAGCAGTGTCCAAACAGTGAGTGTGTGTGCTCCAGTGTGTTTGTGTGTATGTGTGTGTGACAATATCGACAAACTCTAGTTAAACCCCCCAAACGAGTGCACTTAAAAAAGGTACGGAAGTGTCTGAAACGCATAAATCCATAAAAAAAAGTGTGACAGCCGCGCGGCTGTCTCCTCAGAAATCTATTAAGGCTGCTTTGCATAAATTAGCAAATTAGTGAAGCCTTTTAAATATTGAAATGTGAAATGCCGGCTGGCTGGAGTCTGAAACGCATCCGTTCAGCTAATTGGCCACAGCTAAACGGGATTCTAAATTAAAATACAGTATATTGGTTTCACTTTTTGTTCTAACCGAGCACTAAAATTTAAAGCTGCAACGTGCTGACTTAACAATTATTTTAGCAATTTTTTAGCTGCCATTTTGTCGCTCTCTGGCTGATTTTTCTAGTTGACCTTAACCCAAAGCTGCACACATGCATGCGCACATTAGATTAGACTGCAAAACTAGTCTCACTTGCCAGTTGGTTGGTTGGCAGTTAACCGAGGGGCGGACCGGGCGGACACTCTGCCAGTTTTTGGCCAAGGCCAAGTTTGCCAACTCGCTGTTGGCTGCTGGCTGCTGGCGACCGAAAACTAAACGTTTTGAACTTGTAATCGATAATGGCAATTCAATTGCACTTGGACACGGCCAGCAGCTGCATGAAGATTGCACCCAACCGCTAAAATCGTGAATAGTTAGCCGAAGTCTGAAGTCATTGACTGCCAATTCAAAATGGCCAACGATTAAGACTCACACAATCACATTTCAGAAGTCATATGTCAAGCTGTTGATTGTTAGTTAAAAAAAGTGATAATGTGTCCAAATTCGAGGCTAAACCTACTTTATACAATGCAATAAAATTAATTCAACCAAATCTACAGTTTTCTATAAATGGATTTGGAAAAGTAAGCCCTATCGGTGCTTGGTACTTAATACTTACTTTTTTTATATATTTATATATCATTATAGCCACTTTCTGCTGACTTTAAGAAACAGAAAATCATGCGAGTTCCATGCAAATTCGATTGGCGCCAATTTGCGGTCAGACGGCCAATAATTTACTAGAAAGGTTTACAGATTTGTGTGCAACTGAATAACCAATCTGGCCACAGCACTATAGTGTATAGCTATGAACTATAGCTTTGCCTTGAAAGTACTTATGTCAAGCAAATTATCGGGAATTAGAAACAATACAAATTGGAATACTTAACACTGCAGAATGTAAATACTTTTTTGAATAATTGTTACCTGATTTTGTGTTCGGTGAGGTTCCCGACTCGAATTCGATCGAATTACTCGTACTTAAGTTCGTACTTAAAACAATAGCTCAGTAACAAGCATATATTAAGCATAATTCAATCAAATACAAGGAACAGGCCATATCGATTGTTATTTCCCAGATAGGCATATATGTATATACTTCATATAAGTGGCAACTCATTCCCTCATGTAGTTTCTGTTGCCAGTTTAGTTTCGAACGTCCGTTATCTGCGATCCAATGCAATGCAATGGGCTAAAGACCGAAGACCATCTCATTGCCACATTAGCCCATAGATGATCCGTACTGTGCGTGTACGCGACAATTTCAGGGCCAAGCCAATGGGGTTTAGCCCCAAAAACCTGCAGAGCACGTGCAAAATTCCCACGAAACAAAACAAATTCCCCGGCGACAAAGTCTCATGAGCGTTACAGTTCGATTTGAAAGCGTCGGCCCGAACCAAAGCCCAATTAACGTGTCAAATATTTGCCAAGTAATTAAAAGCGCAACACAACAAAGGCACGGATTTAGCAATCGAAGCAAGTCGAAGCGGAGCCAGAGCCCGAGTCAGAGCCAGAGCCAGAGAAGGTACAGAGTTGGATGCTCGCTCAAGTTTCAGGTCTCAGGTCTAAGTCTCCGTCTGTGTCTGTGTCTGCGTCTGCGTCTCAGGTAGCTGGACAAGTGCTTGTCTTAGTTGTTGCTTCGCTTCGAGTGCCTCTTGGTCGTGAAGTTCAAAATGTTGCGCTCGCTGCGCGAAAATTAATTTGCGTAGTAACCAACCATGTGCACATAAATATGCACTTACAAGCCCCGACTTACAGAAATTCAAATTACTGCCAACACTAAATGATTAACCTCTGCCCTGCCCCCACCGTCGCACGCCGACTTAACAAATTAAATAACGAAAAATACGATAAAATAAAACAATGCAGAGAACGACAGAATATAGCAGGCAGGGCACAGCTGAGGTATCCAGACGTGTGCAAAGTCTATGGGTTGTTTTCTATAAGCGACAATAGATCGATTTATTACTATATGCATAGATAAGGCAAACGCATTGCGCATACGCCACGTTGCACTTGACAAATGCGTGTGAAAATCTCGCCATCCCATGTGTGTGCACAACACACAACACAACACAAAACACACAGCAAACGGCAAACAGCATTCAAAACAATACACAGCCGCACATTCCCATTCACATCCGTTGTCTGACTTATTCTGCACACATACTCGTATCTATATCCATATACTTGTATAGTATACTCAACACCATCCAATAATGAAGATAATTATGATGTTGATTCTGTCAGCTGTGAAAATGAAAACAAATTTGTCACTGTTTGCCTACAATTATTTGCCCAGCGTCAATCACAAGCCAAGCCAAGCTCAGCCAAGCTCAGCCAAGCCAAGCCAAGCAAATGCAATAAGTTGGAACCACCTCTGGCTCGATTGACTGTAATTTGCTTTTAATCTCTCTTTAATCTTAATGCGAAAGAACCTCGAAGGCTTAGACTTTGGTGGCAACCTTCAGCTGCCAAGCTTCGTGGGCTCTTTCGTTGCACAAATTAGCGCACTTTTGGGGCGTTTTCCTCAAACGGAGCAGGAAGTACACTAAGTGCCATTTGTATTTGGACAACAGTCGAGATTGTTGCCATTTCCATAAACTACATTTGTTATATCTGGCACATTACATATTTATTTAAATACACTTTGTTCCGGCAACTATTTTTTAATCCATAACGAATCTACATTTGTAAAACTATTTCCGCCTGGAGGGCTTTGAAGAGCGTTCCAGTTCCGCATGCATTTGCAGACTAGTGTGAACTGTAACTGGATGGAAAGGCAGCCAAAGAAACACACCAACTCACCAATAATTCAAACATGTAGGCACAGGCCGACCGACAGACAGACCGATCAGCTATTAGTCAGCTATTGCCAGCCGCTGCTCACTATACTCGCATATACATATTTGTTTGATCGCTTTTATTGGCTTCGATTATCGCTTAATGGCCGCGCAGCACCGCTCAATACAATGAACATAAAATAAATAATATTAATAATGATAATAATAGTATAAAAGTTGGCAGAGGAATATGGCAAAATCGTGTACCATTTTGTAGCGCTTTGCTTTTAGCGATTCCAGCAACGTTGCAAAAAGAAAAGCAATCGAAAATATAGCACAAAAAACAGAAGCAACAACGAATAGCAGAAGTACAAAATTCGCAAAATCAATTATGCATACAATTTAATTGTGTTGCGCCCGTCTCTTGTCTTGTATTTGTTTTATTTTTAACATTTTTGCAAATGAGGCGCGCGCGTCCGACAACTTACGATAATGACGACGCACGCGGAAGACACGTTGTCTATGTACTCGTAGCCGGGGGTACAAGAATTTTGAGTGACATGGACATGCGCCGACCGGTCGATCAGTCGATTCGATGTCCGGCATGTGGCTGAGTCGAGGCAAAGGCCTTTTTACAAAACTGTAGCACAATTCACGTAAATGGCGCGCACCGCTCCAAGATGGCAGCCAGAAGGCTGCGCAGCCGCATGCGGTACATTTATGGCTGTGATAATGCCGCAGAACCTCTACTGTTTGTTCCTGTCTCCCCTGTCAATCGTTCGACGCCTGTCGCCATCGCCATCGCCGTTTTCTTCTGCTGCTAACGCTGACGACGAACGACGAACGACGAACGTGCTTCGCATTCTAATGGAGGGCTGACCGCTTTTGGAGTGGCGGGAGGGGCGCGGGGCAGCAGGGAAGTGCAGCATGAGCTCAGCCAGCAGCTGACTGACGCGACAGTCTCTGCTGTAAATGTGTCAGTTTGTGGCACAGAGTCGTGGCAAATGCAAGCTCTCCTATATTGCGCATACGCCGTGTATGCCCAAAAGTTGAAGTGAAAAAAGCAATAGAGAGTATATTGTAATGTTTATAAATTATCAGCGGACTTCACATTAATTGAAATTCAACGAAAAATTCTGAATTAAACAGCATAGGCTATTTGCATTAAAGAGTATTGGTTGTTTTCGAAATTTTAATTTTAATCAATTGTTTAGTTTTGCCGGCTCGTGGGGCACCTTTGACAGAAGTGTATAATTAATTAAGATCCCCAAAATATATTATGGAATCAGATTAGGTATACTTATCAGTAAAAATCGAATGAAAACTACATTATTATTACATAGTTACACTGAGAGGAGGCCTTTACATTTTGTGTTTTACAACAATTTCAGTTTGAATGTGTGTCTGAATTAAAAATTCAAATTTTCTTGTGTTTTCTGTCACCCATTCATACAATGTACAAAATAATTCGCCAAGCTACACATTTTGAGTCTGTGGATTTGGTAATCAATCACAGACTAACTCTTAATTGCCTTGAATGGCCGAACTACTGAGTAAGTCTTTTGTAGTTTCCCAATCTCACAACGGAAGTCAAGCTACTCATCTAATCTTGGACGTGTGCTCTAAAACAAAAGCCGTTTAATTGCTCCGCCAGTTCGGTGGCCATTAAGTAATTGATTTCAGCGACTACAACTAGAATTCTTGAATATTTACATAGACTGCTGGTCCGATATCTACAAATAACTTCAATGATGTTCCTGTTCCGCATGCAATTTGAATAACAATAACCATAATAATAAGCTATAGCCATGGCTATTAATATCAAAGGTACGCTCATATAGTCGAGGTGGCTAGAACTTTGCCAGTGTGTACCCAAACAGACGCCATTTTATGCGACAGCAGCCGAGCTACAAAACTACATCGTGTTCTTCTACGAGCACGAGTGTGTGTGTGTGAAGTCACAACTACAGAGCCAGACTCAGAGCCAGACTCAGAGCCAGAGCCAGAGCTAGAGCCAGATGAATGCCAAAGTTATCTAACTTTAGTGCCAAGGCAGGTTCGCACACTCACACTTCTAGCTGTGGCTTCTAAGCCGAGACGAAGCCTTGAAGAGTGCCACACACTCGCACACTCATCGACTCGGCTTTTTTGTTGTTCAGGTTTTCGAGCCATTGACTTGCGGTCAGGCGGCAGCTAGTTTAGTGGCTGCGGCTTCGTGCAGCCTAGAATCTGAAAATGCTAAGAAGCTGTCCAACTTTTGTGCGCCTCGTTTTCGTTTTGTTTTATAACACAAATTCTTTTTATTGGTATTTGATAGCGAGTTGGCTGCTGCGTTGGCGGCGGCTGCAATGACTCTTAAATAGCAATCATAATCAAACACATAACATGTACTTGACTCTGTACTATACACGAACTTTGTTTTGCGAATGGCATTGAGAGTGCGAGTGCGAGTGTGAGTGTGAGTGGCCTAACCTGGCCAGGCCTAGTCTATGCAGTTCAGCTTCGGCTTCAGCTTGAGCTTGAGCTTGAGTTGACGCTGATGCTGACGTATTGGCTGCCAATCGCGTCATCCAACAGGCGATTTGGGAACGCAGCCCAAGCTGTGTATTGGATTAGCCTTTTCTGCTTTTCATTAAGTAAAATATGTGCGTGCAATGTGGCCAATTTTATATTCACATTGCGCCTCAAGCCAACGCCGAGCATAATCAACTGCTCTGCTCTGCTCAGCTCGGCTCAGCTCAGCTGCGACTGCGACAGAGACAGCTAATACGTGAGCGTTGTTCCTAAGCAGCAACATCAGAATAGTTCATTCAATATTTTAGCGACATTTGCGAGCAACAGGCGAACGAAAACGAACGCCAAGCGCGTTCGAAAGCCCAAATTAAATACATTTCTATAGCACCTACATCGCCTCTTTCCTTTGCAGTCGTCTTGCGAGCCAAGCCAGTAACAATGACGACCTACATAAAGATATTCAATGAGCGCATCTCGGGCCTGTCCAAGGGTGTGGGTAAGTACCGTCTCCACCGATCAGCTATCGGCAGAAAGATGAACAAGTCACTAATGCTGTCTCCGAATAGATGAGACTGTGGACAGTTGGTTCCTCATGGGATCTCCCGGTCCCGTGATCAGCGTTGTGCTGCTCTATCTGGTATTTGTGCTCAAGATCGGACCCGAGTATATGAAGAATCGCAAGCCAATGGATCTGAAGCGGATTATGGTGTTCTATAATGCCTTCCAAGTGTGCTACTCCATTTGGATGTGTCGCACGGTAAGTTCGAGCCGCTTCGCGTGCGTAACATGCTCCTGAGAATCGCATCTCTTCTCCCTTACTCCACAGTCCATTCAGGAGAGCAATGTAGTGGCCTCAATTTTCTCGAAGAAGTGCGAAATAAATCGCACTCGCGATCAGAATCTCACTCTTTACTCGGGCGCCTGGTTCTACTTCTTCTCAAAGATCATCGATCTGCTGGACACCACCTTCTTTGTGCTGCGCAAGAAGAACAACCAGGTATCTTTCCTGCACGTCTACCACCACACCATCACGGTGCTCTTCTCTTGGGGCTATCTGAAGTACGCGCCTGGTGAGCAAGGCGTGATCATTGGCATCCTGAACTCGGGCGTTCACATCATCATGTACTTCTACTATATGGTCGCCGCCATGGGGCCACAGTACCAGAAGTACCTGTGGTGGAAGAAGTACATGACATCCATCCAGCTGATCCAGTTTGTACTCATCCTCGGCTACATGCTCCTCGTAGCAGCCAAGGGCTGCAACATGCCCAAAGCGCTGACCTTCTTCTTTGTCGGCAACACCATCATTTTCCTTTATCTGTTCGGAAACTTCTACCGCAAGACCTACAACAAGGGCAAGAGCATAGGTGCTAATGGCGCGGTCCGCAATGGCGGCAGCAACTTCGCCCAGTCGGCACTGCGTGCTGCCGGCGGCATGGGCTGCACGCCAAGCCAGTTCGGACAGACCAAGCCCTACATTGATCTGAACAACAACAATGTGAAACCCTTGAAGGCGGAATGAGAACGATCCCTTGATGGGTTCGGCGGGATATTCTCTTTTAGGATAGCAATAATGTTACGTTTGTTAGAGTGGCGGTGCCGCGGTGTCGTCCATGGGGCTTTAGTCTAATCATACCTATGTATCTATATATCTTAATCTAAATCTACATCTAAAACTATGCCTATGAAAAGTTCTGTGACAAAAGGAAAACGTTGAAAATGAAGAAGACATCCAAATACCTAGGAGAATAAGTAAGCGAGCGAGCGAGTGTGTGTGTGTGTGTGTCTCTATGTCTGTGTGCATGAATGTGCTGTTGTATGAGTTGGTGTATGCATGTGTGTGTGTTTGTGTGAACGTGTGCATCGGAACCTTACACACGTCTAACGAACTCAGCTCAAGTTTAACATTGGTCAAGATCAAATCAAATTTAAACAAGAAATAAAACATAAATTTTATATTAAACAAGTCATTTGATTCGGGATGTGGGGAACGTTCTAGAACTTGCTTAGCACCAACTATTAAACACCAACAGCCGACTGAGAAACCTGTTGTTCCTCTTGTCATACACATGCATTTATTTATGACAGCATTTCGAGGATGGAGCCCAAACATCTACAAGTATGAAAGAAAAAAATTCTTTAAAAAAATAAAACGGCGCGTGGCTCGCATTGCCAATCTGTCCAGATTCTTTTATAGCCAAGCGCATGAAAAATGCTCCTCCATTAATTTCTAAAGATTTTCGCTCTTTATCGATACTCATGCCTTGGACGACCGCGGCGCTTGCTTAGCAGCTATGCAATAACATTTGTTTCTTGCCTTCTTTTATTTTGAAACCGGTTCAATGTTTCAAATGCTGAGACATCATGGCGACTCTGATTGGAAAAAACATCCAGCCAAATTAGAATTTCTAATGCGCTAAATACAAGTAAACATCTTCTCATGTTTATTCTGTATATGCGTGTGTGTGTGTGTGTGTGTGTGGCTGTGTGTAGTGTTTGCCATATTATTATGCGACACTCACACGTACAGATGAGCGCTATTAATTACAACATATGCATATGCTAATGAGTGTTGGCCATTGGCTTAAGGCCCGGCATCTGTCTGGGCTCGAATTACTGAAAGCCGCCGAAGAAGCTTCAAGAATAAGCCTCTTGTTAATGGCGAAGGGGTGAGCCCCAAGAGCTGCGAAGCACTTGAACATCCGTTTTCTTCAGGGCAAGCCTAAAAGTATGCAGCAACATTTTTCGCATATGCTTTTCTTATTGGAGAATCGAATTCAAAACAAAAACCTTCTGCAGCATAAAACGAAATCGAAAATCTAATTTAAGCACAGCAATACATAAATCGTTGTCAAACGAGCCGAAAAGTTGGCCAAGCCACCCAGCCAGCTAGAAAGGTAAGTATTCAAAGCAGCTTCTGCTCGATGTTTTCATTGAATTTGTTTGTGGTCAAGATCATGGCCATCATCAAAACCGTTCTCAAACCGGCTGTTCGGCTGCGCGGCTGCTCGGCTGCTCTGCTGCGCTGTTACCGTGCTGAAGATGCTGCGCACGCTCCACTTCCGCCTTATGCTGTAGGCATTAGTTCCGTTTTGACTGATTGATCAATAAAACTCCAAATCACTTGCCGTTAGCTGAATGAGCTGAATGAGCCTCCGTTGAACGGACAGCGGCAATCTTACAAAGCGCCAGCTCAGCTGGCCAGTCCAGTCCAGTTCAGCCGACTTTTCAAGGTGCTTTTAAACGATCATCAAATGCGCCAGTGCTGGTGCGCTGCCTCTGGCGGGGAGCGCGTGTTTTCGACTAGAATAGATTTTGCAACGATATACAAATTCATAAAGTGGACATGCTGCATGATGACAAACATACCGTCGCAGCTTAGGGACCGGTTTGTCGCGCCCAACGGCAGGGGCTTTGCGGTTCTAGCCTTTGTCTCTGACAAGAACGCCATCTTGAATGCTTTTGCACGCTGCTTCCGCTGCTCGGAGCTAGTGCTTTGTGCTAGTCATTGATGACTTAACACTTTCGAGACATAATCTTCAACAACAAAGACTTCAATTGCCAACTTCTTTCTGCATGTTGAGACAAACAGATTTGTAAACATTTTAAAGTGTTGTTTTTTCTAATCTATAATTCGTACTCTTTATGGGGATTTTTGCATAAACAAAATTCCCACACATTTAGTGTCTGCTGCGAAGCAAGTATTCAGCTTGAACCCACATTAGCATATTCCGATTTCTTGAAATAATTAAAAAGTCGCAAGTTTGTAGAAAAAAGTGGCGGTTTTTTTATAAGAAAAATTCACTAATTGTTATTTTATGTGTACTTGTTCGTTTACGTTTAGGCCTACATTCTACATTTACATATACATACATATATACCGGTATATAAAATCTTATGACAACATACATGCACTTATTTACACAACTAACGCTTGTTTTACACTTAACTAAGTTCAGTTTGAACGAATCGAATATTAAATGGTCACTGTTCATGTGATTCATTATTCTTTTTGTCAGCTCTCCTCTGCTCCACGCCCTCCACGCCTCCTCTTGCCTACACTGGCCTCAGGCAGGCCCCATTCGATTGGTCAGCTGGACAACAACAACAAAAGCAAAGCACAAAGCGTGTCACGCTACATAAAAACAAAGCGTTCGGCTGCAAAAGCATTAAACTGTTTACATACAATATTAGCTTGAACTTTTTTTCGTGTCTTCGTATCAATATTTTCTTTTGTCTTTTCTTATTAGTTCTTTTTTTAGTTTAGATTTGTTTTAGCTGTTTTATGTCTTTTTTGGCGGCAGATTACTTAACAAATTAGTTAACAAATTGCACATATTGTAGAACAAACGCGCCCTGTTTCGAGAAAAGTTCAACTCTGGCTAACTCTGCGTGTCTATCTATGTGTATGTTTGTGTGTGTGTGTGTGTGTGTATGTTTGTGTGTGTGTGTGTGTGTGAGTTTCTTTGTCTCTGTGTATCCCGCTTTGTACGAGTATTTGGATGGTGAACAGCGCCCCTCGCTGCTGCAGCTTACAGCGCCTTCTTTTGCGCCGCCGTCTGCTGAAGCGTCTTCTCCAGACTCTTGCCCTCGGCATTCAGATTCTTAGCACAGCTATCGTTGTTGTTGTCGGCCGTGGTTAACGTCTTGGCCGCCTGTTTCTTTTTGTAGGACTTCTGGTAGAAGTCATTGAACAGGAAGTAGAAGAACACGGCATTGGGCAGGGTGAAGCAGACCGTCCATCTGGGATAGCCGCAGTCGGTGTAAAGCAATTGGGTTTGATGGAGGAAGGCGCAGCAGAATTGGATCTGTTGAGTTCAAAATGGTGCTGTAGTGGTGAGAAGAACCGATCTATCAAACTATCGTAAATAACTCACCATTTGCAGATTTGTGATGTACTTCTTCCACCACAGATACTTTTGCATTTGCGGTCCGAAAGCAGAAAGGAAGTAGTACGAGTACATAATGATGTGCACGAAAGAGTTGATCCAGCCAATAAACGTACCATGGCCGCCAGGATAGTACTTGCTGGTGCCCCAACTGATCATGGGCATCACTGTGTGGTGGTAGACATGCAGGAAGGTCACCTGGCGATCGTTTTTGCGCAGCACGAAGAAAATCGTGTCCAGCAGTTCAGTAATCTTGGCCAGATAGTAGGCATAGACCACGCGTGCTTCCTATGGACGTAAAAAGAAATATTATCTACCTTATGCTCTTTTGCTGTTCTGGCTAATTCAACACTTTACACTTTCAAATGAAGATCATAATTAGAACACAAATATTTTTAATTCATTCATCAAAATATTGATTTCTACCTCCTGATCATTAAATATTTCGTTTTAAGTAATGATAGAAAGGTAACTTTTGTTCTTATTTCTCCATTCATGGCATATTTTCACTATCAATTTCACATTCACCATATCATCATGGTGGAGTCTACTTACCCGATAAGCCTTTGGGGTGCGCGACCAGTCGACTGGCTGGCAGCGCCAGCTATAATAGCGCCAAATAACCACGCCCTCGTACACCATCCACACGCTGAGCGCCACTTGGAAGAAATTGTAGATCAGGAGCGTGCGCTCCAGCTTGAAGGGCTTGCGGTCGCGCATGAACTTCGGACCCCATGAGAGCACAAAGTAGAGGTAGAAGCCCAGAATGGTGAGCAGGGGCAACGGGGATTTGATCAAGAACCAGTCATTGGTGCGCGGATCTGGGGGAGGGCGGTGATCGATGAATTGCTGGTCCATAATTTCCATTTATGGAACACTCACCTGCCAGCTCAATGAACAAAAAGTTCCAATAATCTGTTTGGGTTCCGTTCACGGCCGCCATTTTTAAATTCTTTTGTCTCTTGGTGTCTCTAGCACGGTTTAGGGGCTTCTGGACGTAGACTTAGTTTGCGAAATTTAAAAATCTGCTTAGCGCGCATGCGACGTTGTCAAACGCTCTAAACGAACAAGCTTTGCACAATGCCTGGCTGTTTAAGTTTGGGGTAGAATCAAAGTTTTCGATTTTAAAGTTAATAAGCATTTTAGAATAAAATATGTTAATGGCCATCTAAGGCGGCCGTTAGGGGGGCTGAGGATGCTGAGGCGACGGGTTTTTTGATGACTTGGCCACAAAACTTGTTAAAGAAGCGGGCAAAAAGTCACGGCTGAAAAAGCAGTTTAGTTCTTGTACACATACACACGCACACGCACACACATCAAATCTATATCTATAGGTAGACTAACTCAATATAGTACATACATACATATGTACATATGTACATATCTATGTATGTATTCGCCATTGGGCTGATTAAACTTTGACGAGTTGTTGAATAGATAGCCATCGCATTTCGCTCTTAATTTATTGGTCTTACAAATTCAATGAGCTGAAAGCTTTTTTATATGGAAATTGTACTACTAAGTACTAATATGTAACTACTAGACAATACTTCTTTGTAAAAGTAGATGCTTGATCGATTTCACAAAACGGCATGCTACCGGCATATCGATTATTTGTTATCAATGTCCTGCTATCAAGGCTAGTTTTTAACAATGTGAAAAGAAACAACACTGAAGACAAATTTCACAGCGCTGCTTAACAGCATTAAATACTTTTGACATTTTTCAAAACTAATCTTAGGATCTGCTTCTCTGCCAATCAGTTATTTGCACCTTGTAACTTAACAAAGACTTAACCAAGCATACCGGAAGCTTAAGAAATGTAAATGAAATTGTAAAATGTATAAAATGTTTATTGGAAATGCTGGCCGACTGTATGCTGATTAGAATTAGCATCAAAACAAAACCATTTGCTCAACCTTCAAAAGGGGTGACTAGTCGAATATGGATTTACATACATATGTATTTGTAAGTGTATATACAAATGTTTGTAAATATATAGGCACATATATGTATATAGCTATATGGATAATTTCAATGGAGGTATTTGTCGGGCAACTTGCAATGCGAAATTGTTATGTAGGTAACAGTAAAATTATATTCATTATTACGAATTAAACAAAACGGTGCGGCCCAACAGACTGTCTTGTGGGATTGCCTCACAAGTTCACGTTATGTGCGTGTAATTGGGCGCTGGACCGTCGACAACCCAACTCACGTGTGGGACGTCATAACAGCAACAACAAGCCAAAACAAGAGATGACAAAAGCAACAAATAATAACATCAAATATTTGACTGTTTCTTTTCTTCTCTGCTTTTTACTTTGTTTTAGGGTTGTCTTTCCATTTCGGGCGCGTTAAATGCTCAGACATGCACACACACACATATGTATGTACACACATGTGTATGTGTACAATGTATGTATATATGTGAAATGCCAAATGCAATAACAAGAGCAGATCTAGTCCGCCTCCGTTAATAACTGTAAACGTGAGACGGAAAGTGGTTGCTGCTACTTGAACTCAAGTAAAGGCCGTTTTGATTATGACCATTTTTTAGGCAGCAGCGGCCACTTGGCCATTTTCGAGGCAACAAAAATTCTTCGATTAGTCTATTGCACACTATTCTTCGTTTCTTCAATTCCGTCAGAGCTTGGGTCGGTCGGTCGATACACAAAAAGGTGGGGAGGCGCAATAAATATGAGAAAAATGAATGAAAAATAAATATTTTGAAGGGCAAGTCGCAAGTTGGTCAGTGTCCGCAACTAGTTTACTCATTTCCTGCAGACACCTCAGCCCTCAACCCTCAACGCGTATACGCCGTGTGAGCCGACAAGCATTTGCCGCTGTTATTGTTATTGCTGTTGCTGTTGCTGTTGCTATTGCCATTGCTGTTTGTTGTTTGCTGCAATAATAACCATAAATGAAAAATGAGGCAGAAAATGAGAGATAAATAAAAGGTGCTAAAAGGCGCGCGCGCTCGACTGCTTTTTGACAAATACGAGTACGAGTACGCAGAGCGCACAACAGAATCGAGTTTTCGAATTATCAATTTTTTTCACCTTCTTCTTCTTGAAATGAAGCGCAAAAGCAATGACTGGCGTTCAAACGAGCAGACAGACGGACAGACTAACAAATTTGTGCTTGGCTAATGGGCAAATGACGTCGCCGACCTTGCCACATTTCGGGCTAAAGTCGCAGTTCTGTGGATTGCGCCATTAAGTCTGGCGTATAAATCAGTTGTTATGTTCACCATCGCCATTTGCACCACCCCCTCAGAAATACGTATAGTGTGTGCTGCATTGCAGGTTTATATAATGAGGTGCATCTTATGGCCAGTTTATGTGCTGTAAACAATCGACAACTGTCACATAATTTGTAGTTGGCTGCGGCGACACCTTCAACGCCTGCAACTCCACTCCTCAGCACATTCGGCACATTTCCACTTGGTTAGTCATTTGTTAAATAGGCAACCCGAGTCGCTCTCGAGTGAGTTGGGTCCGCCGAACACTCAAGCAGGCGTGGACCTTGGCGACGATGCGTATGCTGAACAACAAATTGTGTCAACAATTGCAAAAGCAAGTTCGTACCATTACATACAAGTATACTATAGGCAGGTAGATTTACTATATATTTGTATATGTCTTGTACTTGGTTTACATCATGCCGTGGTGCGCTATTTGTTTAATTAGTCAGCATGCCAAAAGTAAAAGTTGAATGATCTTGCCAGCCCCTTTGGCACCTGCTGCTCATCGGTAATTAGCATACAATCTGCATATTTGATTTAATGGCCGAAGGGGTCAAAGTTTTGAAGAACTTCGAAGCGTGTTATTCTCAGCTATAGATGTATGTAGATTGACAATCGATGGAGTATGGATTGAATGCAAAAAATAGTTTCTACAAATTTACAGAAAGTTGTTTTTTTTTTTTTCTTTTTTTGTATTCACTCTTCAGCAAGTCCTGGACGCAACACTTTTTGTCCTGCACTCTGAGTTCGCTACGCATTGGTTCAGCTGTTGATGACACCTTTGTCTAAGGTCTAGGTCTGTGTATGCATGTGAGCGTGCACTTAATTTACACTTGTGAAAATATATAGACACACACACACACACACCAACTCAGCAGCTCAGCAACACACGCACACACACAATTCGGCATGGAGCAGCACTAAACACCATGACAAACACTTATAATGATGATCTTATACATAGGCTTGTACTACTATCTACTATATGGATATGGTTTAGAGACCTCTGCTGGCATCCGCTAACCACGAGACTTGTACACGTACTGAACTGCTCCGGCGATTTGTGCGCTGCTATGTATAAAAATTTCGACTATAGGTCTTTTTCCTCGATCACGCCAAGCTGTTGAGTCTGGCTCGGTGGTTGGGCGCGCTTTTGTTTTGGCTTTAGTTTTTGCAGCGCAGCTGTTGCTGCCAATGCTGTTTTTGCTGTTGTTGTTGTTGTTGCTACAGGTGTTGTTGTTGCTGCTGCTGCTGCTTCTGCTGCTGCGGCTTCTTCTTAAAGCCAACTCTTCGGGCCAAATGTTCTTTGTACTTCATTTGCGCTGCTGCGTTTGCTTTCTGGTCTTGTTTTCCTATTGATCATAATGGTTTGCCTGATTTGTGGATAGTGTGGCTGTCGCTGTCACCGTCGCCGCCGCTGCCGCCGTCGCTGTCTCTGTCTCTGCCGACTTATGGTTGTTCAGCATTTGAAGCGTTTCTGTCGTTAGGCTTGCCGGCAGTTCTGTTGTTGTTGGGGTCTTTGCTTCTGCTGCTGAATTTTAATTTGAATATTCAATATTAGTGCGTGTGTATGCTGAGCGCTACTTTTGCATCGTTTGTACAATAATTAATTAAGCTTGCATATTTTTCAATATTTATGGTTCGAATATTGTTGTATACGTCTGTCGTCTGTCGTCTTGTTCCTATTAGAAAACCAATAGCATTGACGTTTTTATACCACCGCTGATAGGTTTATAGCGCCGACCAGTGTCGATCATACGACTGGGCAAAGGACTTATGCCAGCATGCGGATGACGAAACATCGCTAAAACGCATGAACATTCAAAAACAAACTAAATCTATAGATACATACATATTTAGCTATAATCCAAACACATCAAAAGCTGGGAACGGAGCGGCAATAAATTAAAAATTCAATCGCTGGCATTAAAATAAGTAAACATGCGAGGAAAGAGGGAGCGATCACATATCATAGAACGAGTCTTTTCTCTGCCCTAGAGATGGCAGTGAATCAGATCGTGAGCGTATTTTACTAACAACTTTCCAAGAAAATGGAAAACTCACCACTGTTTCTTTTAATAATATAGTATTTCAAGAATGATTAAAATGAAATATCATAGATTTAAGACTTAGCAATTTCAAAAAAATAAAACAAACTCTTATAAAATTTGATAACAAACAAAATTAAATACAAAATATTGCAGTTTAATAACCGTAATTCACTAAATATTTAAACATTAATTTCTCTTTTTTTCTTGCATTATAAAAATAAATAAATGCCTGAAAAGAATTGAACTTTAAGCTGGTCCTTTAGAAACAGGCATTCAATGTCTTATACATTGAATTCATTTAACATTTCTAAATAATAAATAATGTTAGATCTGTTGAACTTCTTAGCTCATATTTAGATTAATAATAAAATAATTAATAATTAAAATTTTATCGTAAGTGAATTAATTTCAATTGCATATTTTAAAAACATTTTCAAAGTAATGAAAAGATATTTTATCTATTGGACTTTTTAATTAAAACTTCATAAAAAATAATATAAAATTTTAAGCCCAAGAATAGTTCTCTTTTAATTAAAAATCGAAATCAATTCATTAGCAAACTAATTCTTAGACAGACTACTAACAACTGTATATTCTCTATTGATGCAAACATATCATCAAATCACTATTCTATCTGCTGGAGTTAGAGTTGTTAGAAAATGTCGTTAAATTAATTACAAGCTCAGCAACTGGTTTTCTATGTATAGTATAAGTAAGTAAGTATAGTCGTATGTTTTCAAAGTATGTATACACAATGATCTGGAAACCTTCAAAGTCAGTTCATTTCTCTAAAATTCTAAATATTTTAAAATAATTATATTTAAATAATTAGGCTATGGGCATCGACCGAACTTGATAAGCACACAGCAGCAGCAATAATAATTGGGCTAACTTGAAAAACTGGCAGCTCTTTAATGTGGTTAAGCAGAGCACAAGGGTAGCTGGCTAGGTTTTCACACTTCCAGCGCTGCCGGCAAAAAGCGATGGAAGCGATGGAAGCGGTAGTAGCGGTAGTAGCGGTAGAAGCAGTGGCAGCCATGCCCTCACTCAGTTCTCATTCTCGAGTTCCGTTAATACGATTTAATTCAAGGAGACAAAGACCTAGACAACAAACAATAACAACACACTTGATGATCGACGAACTATACACGAAAAGCGAAGCCAAACTCACGAAACCTGTTCAAAGATTGCTTTTTGAGTCATAATTTACATGCTTTTTTATTTATTATGCATTATGTAAGTGGATGCTAGTAACTGTGTACAGGTTCTGAGGCTCTGATGCTCTGGGCCAACAGCCCAATGGCCATTTCTTGAGAGTTTTGTAGTTGGGCGCCCTACAAAAGCCATCGCAGCAGCAACAGCGACTCCATGGCTGGCTGATGGTGCTGGTCAATGCCACTTCCGGGTCCAAGACGTGCTTGTCTAATGCTAATTGAATGAAAGCTAGTATTCGTGCCGGTACTAAATATATATTCGCTTTGCTTTGATTCGGACTCAGATTCGGATTCGAGTCTTGTCAAGTGTGCTGGGGTCAGCCGAAGTTCAAATTTGGTGATTTCTGTGCTTAACTGTGTCACCGGCATATTGAACTTGACCTTGACTTGGCTCTAGTCGTGTTATGCTATTAATTTATGCCGTTATTAGCAATGCGCTCAGTTTCTAACTGCCAGATACAGATACAACCAGATACCGTGAGGCGGCCTGCATAAAATGTGGGTGAATGTCGTTGACACTGCGTTGGCTGCTCGCTTGCAGTGCTGCGAATAGTAGCGGTATTGGAATTCATTATGAACTACCTTACACTCCCTTCTCTCGCATTTCTGCAGCACATCACTCATACGCACTGTGGGGTGAACTCTTCCGGTTGGCGCTTCTGTGGCTTTTGTCTGTCGTAACAAAGGCGTAGCGCACACACAGCCACACATAATTATATGCGAAAGATCTGATCTTTTATCTTAACTGCAGACGCGTTGGACAGCAGCGGCCCAACGGCAACAGCCAATAAATGGCCGTCGATATAGCGCCCCACAAAAAACAAAAATTGATAGTAATAATAAAAAAAAAATAAACAAAATGAAATCGAAAGACGAAAACGTGCGCTCGCTTCTGCAAATTATGCAAATTTCCTTCCGCAAACATTTACATACAACCATACCGTTAACAATATTACTATATAATTGATTCCATTTGTTCTTGTACAAATAAGCCTTTTCAATCAAAAACAAACAACAAAAAAACCAACAACAACAGCAGCCGCAAACAATACGAAATCCGCGACAAGTAATTAAACGTTCAAATTTCGTAGACGCACACAAATGTATGCGGAATTTTTAATTTTTGCAAAACACAAACATTTTGTGTCGACATTCTTTTGGCATCATACGTCAGGAAACGTCATGTTTTCTACACCAGCAATGTAATTTAAAATGTAAAATTGTCAATCATGCCATCAAATTGTTTTCCGCATTTACCCGAGGGGGTTTTCCCCGAGTTATCAGGTCGGTTTGCTTGCAATTTTCAATTGTTCGGCTAAGGATCGGTCCAGAAGTCTATTACCATGGCAGCTCATGGCACAGTTGCATGCAAATTAAATTAAATACCATTTCAATAATTGTTAAAAATTATATCTTGGCAATGCGGATTTTCGCTGAATTATTATCTAAGCTATAAACCAATAATTTCGGACCTCAAGGGAATATCCTTTAAATAAAACCTTATGCCCATTAAATCTTTGTATCTATATCTAACTAACTATTGAAAAATAAATTGCGCAGCATTCTGCTTGCTTCATTTTGAAATCATGAGAAAACAGAAACTAAAATCTATCGAATTTCAAAATTTGTTCGCTCATAGTTCTGATAAATTGAAAAATTTTGCGTGCATAGAGTTGTTTCCAAAAACATTTGCTTTGTAAAGATTATACAGGGGCAGGGTTCCAAAGTGTTGATTTTCGAGCGCTGCAGCCATAAAACTTGTATGAATCGAAGATATAGCAAACAGTGTAGAAACTCTCCACATAGATCATGCATCGATTACCCAGCCATTAGCTTCGGAAGATATGATATGGTTGGATGGATATGGATATGGTGACCCCAAAAAAGGAATAACTTCATCTGATAAGTATTCCGAAATCATTTATTTATTACTCACCTTTATTCACCTTTATATATGTTGAAGAATTTTAGTTGAAAAGGCCCCAGATATGAACAGGAAATTTTTAAAAGAATAGTTATAACTTCTTCCAAAAATTTCGAGCATTGGAAATGAAACATGTGTGAGTACTTCTTACGGAAATCCCCATTTTCTCCGAAAGGTGAGTCCTAGCATCTTTTTTGCTGAAAACACGAGTAACTTCAAGCTCGACCGTTTTACAAAAGTTTAATCAGATTTTCGGCTCATGCGAATTTTTTGATGCCGGCACTTGTAAATTGTTTTTATAGTTTAATTAACAGTTTTATGGCCTTGCCTTTGTGCACGACAAGTGCAAACTAAAAGTTGCTTTTGTTTTTCGGTTTTTGTTGTGTTGTTCCATTTACTGTTATTGCTTTTTAACATGCCTTAATTAAACGTTTTAATTTGTAACATAAACATTAAATGACGCATATAAGCCCATCAAAACCCTTTATTTAGTCAATTGCGGAGTCGCCACCTAGCGTTCATTTTGAAAGCTCAACTTTAAGCTTTGCAACATGCTGCCAGATAGTTTTAAATTGCAACCGTTGGCAGTTAATACATTTAAAAAAGTATTCTTTAAATTAAAGCTTTGTTTTGTTTAAGACAAAGTTTAACTTGTATCAAAGTTTTGGATTAGATGAAGAAAATAAGAAAGCTTCCATACCCTTCAACCATTAATCTATGATGACTATAGCTTAACACTAGAACAGGCAACCCGAAAGGTTAGGTGGCCTTTATAAAGTAGGGGACATATCAAATAACCCAGTAGTGCTTAGAAATCAAAATTATATTCTTAAGAAGAT